TAGAATTGCTGGGGAATTCTGGGGAATTCTGGGAGTCAAAGTCCACCCATCTTAAAGTTACCAAGTGTGAAGAACACTAAAGCAAGAAGGAAGCATTGTAGCAACTCAAAGTTTTTTTTTCTTCTACTTTGCATAATACTAGATACCTGGATCATTCAAAGGCACTAGCAATATATTTTAGGAAGGATAAAAAGATTCAGTGTACCGTTAATGTAACAAATTCCTTGCTGTCAAAAAGAATTTGAAGATGTATCTATTTATTTATACATTTACTCATTTATTTATAATGTGTTCGAACCGCCTCTAGGCAAGACACAGAGGGTAACAGCAGTGAGTTTAGACAATAATAAATCCACCAAAATATAATAAAGTCTACATAAAATTAACTATTCTATTTTCAATTACACATCTTGTGTTGGTCATTCCCACCAATCAGGACCCAATGACCTTCTGGATCAGTGAAGCTGTTATGAGCTTCCAAAAGACCAGGAGAATGGGGACCACCCTGGTTCCAAGTGAGGCCAGCTGTTCCATGGGAGGAGAGACCCAAAGAGTTAGTTGCACTTGTCCTCCTTCCCACTTTACCTCCCCCCAGGTAGGGATCTTTGAGAGGCATTTTCTGTCCACTCAGAAACTGTCTGGGATGGACCATTTCATAGAAACCTTATAGGCAATAACCAGCACCTTGAATTGCCCTTGGAAATGAGGCAATGCAGCCACCACACAAAAGATGTTACCTGACAATAACAGGGTTGTCCCATAAGAGTGTCAGCTGCTGATTTTGCACTGGTTGACAGTTCCAGGTGGTCTTCAAGGGCAGACCCATGTAAAATGAATCACAGTCTGTAGAGAGTAAGGAAGATGACCTTGATGGAAATATGCAGAAGGCTGAAGCATCTTTTCAGTCCAGAATGTCCAGATAACATCCGGAAGCAACTCAAACAAAAAACTCCCTAATTCACTGAACTATCAGAAAGAGGAGGGGGTACAGCACAATCAGACTTGAAAGACTGATGTCAGCCCCACTAGGTAGACCAGACCCTGAAATCAATTTTACAGAATGGCTAAAAGTACATTTATTGAGATTGGTTATAATAACAGGATCTTATAAGTCTGATTGCGCGTACTTCCTCCCCCTCCTTATACTCCAGTGAATTAGGGGGGGGCATCTGTCTGAGCCATTTCTGAATATTACCTTGTTGCTCTGGACTTAAAAAACGTACCAGCCCCCTTTTGCCTAAGAAGCAGTTCCTGCATATCTCCATCAAGGTCATCTTCCTTGCTTTCTACGCAGGCGTCCGTATGAGAGATGATAAGAGCAATCTTCTAGGTACGGCTGCAATTGGGGCACCATTGAAGCTGGCAAAGGCCTTTCTGGGCACAGGTTCCACCTGCTTTTCCAGCAAGAGCCATGATTCTGGGAGGAACCCCAGTTGCTAGCCTGTTCTCTGTGAGGGAACACAACCCTGTTGAGAGCAAAACTGGCATAGGTGGTTTCTGAAGGAAGGTTGGGAAAGCTATACTCCTGTGTGTGGGATAAGTCTGATTATTCAGCTTTCTGAGCATAATTTGTAAATTTGGCTCACCTAACTACATTGTTATCCTAAAAACATCACTCCCCCTCCCAACTCTCTCTCTTTCAGCCATACAGAGTGTGCTTTGTGGAGGAAATGCCCTGACGCCCACTCGTACAGGGGCAGTGGGCTCTGCCAAGATTGTGTTACATGAAAATGGGACGTGGGAATATCAGGTAGGAAGGAACTTTTGCTGGCATGTTGGATAGTTTATACATCAGAGTATAGCAGGAGAGCACAATCCTAAGCCCCACGGTTGTGTACGGCTCCCGAACACCTTGATTTGGGTCTCCAGAGCCCTTCCAGATGTTGCCACTGAATAATGGGACCAAATGGGAAAGTAGCCATATCAACAGTACTTAATTTATTTTATCTAAGTTAAATTATTCAATACATTTAGCATCGTCCTTCTCTTTCTTCTGGCCCCACCTACTTTTTCAAGTGCAACATCTTTTACCACTCCAATTAAAGATTAAAGATCTAGCAGAACTGGGTTAGTTTTAAGCTGGATTGGATTTCTGTCGGTTGCACCCAGCTAGGTACTCTGTAATATGTGGAAACCCACATAGAATAGCAGAAAATCCTCAGAATAGGAATCCAAATTTGGCTGATCTTGACCTTGCCAGTGTGGCTTTGATAACTCCTTTGGGGACATGCTTCTGCCCAGATCCAGGTGGCCGGGACAGGAAGCGAGGTGGTTGGGGTCACGCTGGAGACCAAACCCCGCCGAAGAAATAAGCGCAGCATTTTATATGATATGACCCACAGCTATAGGGATGGAATGGTAAGTTTGGGCTGGCAGGACAGGGAAGAGTGGAATGACTTGGGGATTGGGGAGGTCAGCCTAGCTTGGGGTCGGTGAGCCTCAGGGACTTCAGAATGTGTGAAATGCATTCCCTTTTCTGCAAAAAGCCATTTCTGTTTGCACACCCCTGGATTCACACTTACAAAGAACCAAGCCCTGTACATTTTATTCCCTCTCCCACCATTCTTGTTTTTTCAGGCCAATGGGTCCTGGACGGAAGCCAACGGGCGCGATGCCCACATGTTGCTGCAGAACGAACTCTTCTTAAATATAGCTACCCAGGACTTTGAGGACGGAGAGTTACGTGGGCAGATAACCTCCATACTCTACAGCGGACTCTTGGCCCGTTACCAAGGTACCCACATGCAGAGCGTGTGAAAGAGCTGAGTCAGATAACAGGAGAGTCACCTGGTGCTTGGTCTGGACAAAGGTTTTCGGTCTAGCCCAACTCATTTCTAGCCCTGCAGAAACTGTTGCATATAAAAGGCAGAGAGGTAGGTGCTTGGGGATCTGGGTGAAAATATAGAGGCATCAAGCTGGCAGAGACAAGGACATCACCCCGGCTAAAAATCCTGCACAGTTTGAAATTCAAGCAGTATTTGAATACGGGGATCAAAAGAACCCTTAATATTCAGAGTTTGAAAACGCAGTTTAGAGGAGAACAGAAGATGAATTTTCAAGCAGTAGTTGAAGAACAGACTACGTTCAGATAACTTCCCCATATTCCCCACTGTGTTCTGTGTTTGTCGGGTAGAAGCCTGCAATGATGGCAGAAGCCATAGTTGATAGAACCAGCTAGGTTCAATTCCATAGCCCCCGGATTCAGACTTCCCTTCTCTGTCCATTTCTGTCCTGCTGACCACACGCAGGCCCTCCTGCCCTTGGGAGCAGACCCACTTTATCTCAGTTCCTCCTTCTTTCTCAAGTTCCTGATTTTCTTTTACTACCCATTCCACCCGAATTCTTGTTCATTCTCTGTACGCTTCCTTCTCCCATCTTAAACTCTAAAGCAGTGTTCTGACAACACATTTAACCAAGTCAGTTAAAGAGGCTGCATTCACACAACTTGCTAAGCTTGATTAGTATTAATCTTGGGATAGGTTTTGCTGGGGGTGGGGGTGCTTAGCAAGGTTCAATTATGATGCAGTTATTATGCAAACCCAGAAACGGCCTCAACTCACTAACTGGGTTGTGTGTTGTGTGAATGCAGCTTGTTTGAGTTTTTAAACCCAGTCAGGTGGATAAATCCCCTGGATCGAGAACATTCTGATAGCTCTGTTCTTCCAACCAGGGGTTTTCAAACTTTTCAGTCCATGGAACCTGTTCATTAAAAAAACAGAATTCCTAAGAATCCCCTGATGAAGAGGCAAAGCTCTAGGAATACAAAATTAGCTGCATTCAAGCAAACTTTTCTTTTTGCCCTAAATATCTTGTGGAATCCCAGGGTTGCATGGAACACAGTTTGAAAAACCTACTCCAAATCCTGAATATCTTATACCACCACTCCAGCACAACCGTTCAGTGTTAGTGGCCCTTCCACAGCCTACAGTGCAAAGCAGCAAAATAAATTATTTTGCCCATTTCAGTGTTTCCCGTGCCTAGATTTAAAAGTAATGCCCCCACATGCAGGAGCAGTTAGGACTGCGAACCTCATTCAGAAGAAATGACCTGAACGGACCTTAATTGAGAGCACATTCCGGTTAATTGGGAGCTGGGTGGGGGTAGCAAAAAGAGAGAAATGTAGTTCCTTTAATCTCTGCTTTGAATACCTAATGCTGGATATTGCTAAAAGCCATTGCTGAGTTCCGTAACTACAGTCTGGCTTCTCAAAAGAAATCAGAGGTAATTAGGTTAGAGCAGTGTTTTTCAAAGTTGGCAACTTTAAGATGTGTGGACTTCAACTCCCAGAATTCCCCAGCCAGCATGCTGGGGAATTGAAGTCCATACCTCTTGAAGATGTGAAGTTTGAGAAGCACTGGGTTAGAGGGCTTCAGATGTGCTGCAGTAAGGCCTGGTCAGTATGGGAGATGGCTATGGAAAATGTGAACCAAAGCATCTGGAGGTCATTGGGGTGCCTACCCTTGTAACACACCATCAGCTGGCACTCCTGGATAGATGATGTGTCTTTTGTCCCGCAGAACTTCCCATCCCTCTGGCTGGCCAATTTGTGTCCCCTCCAGTGCACACAGGCTCTGCTGGGCACGCCTGGGTGTCCTTGGACGATCACTGCCATCTGCACTATGAAATTGTGGTGGCCGGCCTGGGCAGAGCAGACGATGGCACCGTTAGCGCTCACTTGCATGGTTTTGCTGAACTGGGTGAGATTCATGAGAGCAGTCTTCCAGAGCCCAGGCGACTGTTGAGAAGTTTCTATGGCACGGAGGTAAGGCGCCAGGAGGGATCCTTTTGGTTGGAAATGCTTTGTCCCGCAGTTCATACTTAAGGAATCACTGCCATAAGGTTTGATGGAGCTGCTGACCCTAAAAGCACAGGCAGAGAACTGTTCTATTGTAATGGTGTGCGGGAGTGACTTTGGGAGACAGGAGGAAGAGCTGTAGACGGAGGAATGGTCCGATAAGAGGCAACTGAGCCCTTAGCAGGAATGGGGTGTGGCAAACATCTCAGAAGGGACCCTCCTTAGTTTCCTGGACTGTAAAGGCAAGGGGCAAGAGATGTACTTTCAGACTTGCAAGATTCCGTTAATATAACCTTACTATAAAGTTAGAGCTAGTATTCCTGGGTGTGCTTCTTGTCTGGACTCCCTCGCAAGGCTGTCATCTATCCAGTAAAGGGTGAAAAGCCATCTCTTGGGATGTTTTAATCTGGATGCTTTAATGTGAGCTTCATGGTCGTTCCAAATCCTGTGTTACTTATGCATTGGTAAGAACTCCACTTTTGGAGTCAGCTGTTTGGAATAGCGTGGAAGAGCAGGCTGCTTAGAAAAATTGCAGGCCTCTGGGCCGCCTTCTTCCACTCCTGTTTGAGACTCTGAGCACAGCAGAGTTGCCAATAAAGCAGCAACCTTGAAACATGGGTGGGGGGAGACGGGAGGAGACACGTGTTTTGGAAGCTCTGCATCCACCAGCAAACAGAGCAGTGTTTCTCAACCTCAGCAACTTCAAGAGGCGTGGACTTCAACTCCCAGAATTCCCCAG